TGGTTAGCCTCCTGCTCTGGCCACCATGATCTCTGTACGGAAGTGGACTGCATCCCCTAAAACTGTAAGCCAAGATAAACACTTCCTCCTTTAAATTGCTTCTTGTCAGTATTTTGGTTACAGCAGCTAGTGAAGTACCTAACACAGTCTCTTTCCTTCCTCCCTGGGGGATGTTTCTCTTAAGCTGTTGTTATTACTTCAGGGAACTGAATCTCCAGAGATTTCTGAACACAACTTCCTAATTATCACTGACTTACTCAGGCTAATGAGCCTACCCAGATCTAAAACTGCAGTGCTGTTATTCCGCATTTAGTGATGGTAGGAAGGAGAAGCTTGTAAGGCAATGGAGATGTGTAGGTTTCAAAAGGTTAGGCAGTCCAGTGACCAAGCAGCCATGCAGCAATACAATCTGCAATACAATATAATCTGGCAGGACAGAAGTCCAGGCAACAGAGTGCCTGACATGAACAGATAGAGCCAAAGGATGATGTCTCCATGGCCCCAAAGAGGAAACAAATTAGGTAATTGGACAGAAAGACAATGGGGGGGAGGGAGTACCATCAAATCATTGCACTGCTCACACACTCATTGAAGACAGTTTGTTTCCTATCTTTCATCTTCAAATCATTTGCCTTTCTCTCTGTAACATGTAACATTGTTAAGTGGAGACTTGGGGCAGGAGAGGAGAAAATGAAGTAGAAAACCCTTTTCTCTCCTTCTGATATACAGCAAATATTCCTGCCTTCAGAAACCTACCCTGTTCGTGAATACATAGTGTCTTCTTTAAAAAACCCACTGCCTATAAAAGCTCCATGCTGTATGAACTGTGTCCTTCCAGAGGAGTTACACATTCGGCGCTCTTTTGAAAGCCGTTAATCTGACATATGGACCACAAAGAATAGTAATCAGATTAGGCCACTAATCAGGGTGATAAGCCAGCCCTCCCTCCAGGTCACACTGCTCTAGGGAGGGTGGCTTTGTATTTCCTCCTTTCACATCTAATAACTTCTTAACACATTTTTAGTCACAAAAGAAGACAGTTCTCTCTGTAATTGGTCATCCTTTTTTAAAATGGGAGGAAACTAGGATAAAAGAACCCAGTATTTCTGTCTTTATTCTTTAATAGAGTCAACTTTAATATCCTCCAAGCTTAGGGACCCTGCCTTCTGTCTCTCACTGTTAATCATGTCGTGTCTGGAAAAAGAATTCACAAGCCACATTCTTCAGGAATGCTTCCCCATTATCAAACACCACATATCTTACATTCACACTGCTCTGGGCCCTCTGTAGCCAAATAAAACTAGAAACATGCCTTTCCCAGTCTGGATGCTTCTGTGGGCAGCCTGACCACCCTGACTTTGGCTAGAATTAAAAATAAATAAAATCTAATGTCCTACTAAAAATGCAAGGCACTGAGGATTCTTGATGGTATTCCATTAAAGGGGGAATAAAAGGAGATCAAAGTGTGTAGCTCAGTGGTAGAGCATTTGCCTGACATGCACAAGGTTCTAGCTCAATCCCCAATACTATGAGAGGAAAAAAAAATGAGGCAGATGAAACGGTCTTAGAGACAAGCTTCATCTAATAGGTCCACATATGAAGCCCAAAATGTTATCTTTTGACAGTCTCTGTCCCAGCTCACAAGAGCAACACATATCAACTCACTTTACCAAAGTTCCCTTATTTATTTAGAAGAAAAATAAAGAAAACCCAGGTGAAAAAAAATATTAATTTTGAAAACAAAAGTCCTTGCCTGTGTTTGGGAAGAGAGAAAGGCAGGAGCCAAAATGAACCCATGTGGCATACAGAAAGAGCATTTGTATTTCTTTGTCCCACTATGCCTCCGGGCACTGCTCCAAAGAAACTTATTCACACTAAAATCAGTTTGGTAGCCCAGGAATGGTAACTCAAATAAATTGAAAGGCCTCTGAAATGAGGAAGTTCAAGAAAGGCTAGTGTTTTGTCAGCTTGATACAAGCTAGAATCATTTAAGAAAAGTGTGGTGTGTGGGCTCATTTTTTTTTTTCTTGGTGGGTTGGGGATTAATGATTGATGTGAGAAGGCCCAGATCACTGTGAGCATTGCAAGCTCTAGGTAGGTGGTTCTAAGGGATCTAAGAAAGCAGGCTGAAAAAGCCATGAGGAGGAGCAAGCCAGGCTCTCTGTTTCAGTTCCTGCCTCCATGGTCCTGCCTTGAGTTCCTGCCCTGGCTTCCTTTCATGATGGACTACAAATGTGCGCCAAATAAACCCTTCCCTCTCCAATTTGCTTTTGGTCACAATGCTTTATCAATAAATAAGAACAACTCTTCCACAGTATAAAGAATTATGTGTCTCATTATGAAGTCTTGTCACAAATCCACCAGAAGGAGAATGATGAAATAAGTTAAAACCTAGTAAGATCTCTGTCCATGATGGTCTTATATGCTAATCATTCTGCAGTACCAACAGCAGTATTCCCCAGTGGGATCCCGTGTCTGTTTTCTTTATCATCATCATCATCATCATCATCATCATCATCATCATGAAAACCACACGTCCACGAAGCAATCTCAGAATAAGTCTTAATCTTCCAAGAGGACCAGAGGTAAGACATAATGAGATGAATACAAGAGCCCACACTAAGACCCATTTAGCTTGTTTAGCTGAAAATATGAAACTGTAAACAAAGCCCTTAATTTGTTTTCTCATTTTTCCTGGAAAAAAACTACAACCCCTTCTTAGCCATAATAAAAACACAGCTTTTCTGCCTATTAGTTTTCCAGAACAGTATCTTCATCAAATAATGAAGGAAATTTGTTCTCCCGTTTCCCCTCCTAGCCAAATAAGTCTTATTTTTGGCTAAATCACAATTAGAACTTTTACCATCAGGACTAATCAGAGCTTTCAATCCAACCACATAGTGTCAAAATCCTACACCAACTAAAATCTTGGAAGTGGAGAGAAGGCACATGAGAAAAACATACTGGGAAAGTTTAGAACTAGTTTTGAAGAGTTGGTTGGCCGCCTAATGGGCTTGCTAGCTTTGCAACTTCTGGACACACTTCTATATCCTGAATCTGTGAGATGGGGAAAATAATACCAAGGGCCTAAAGTAGTTGAGTATTAAATGAAATAGCATGATAAAATTCTCAGAATTTTATCTGTTATTTTTGTTACCTAATTTATAAGGTTATTTTGAGCATTAGAAAAATATTTATAGAACTTATGTTTGGGAAGTCATAAGTAGTGTATAAAAGGTCACTGAAATGAACACAGAGTCCTGATCACAAAATCTAGTACAAATAAAATTTCAACTCACAGGTGTAGTACTGACTGTCACTATGGCTCAAAATCGCTGGGTCTTACAAATTAAAAAGAACACTTTTGCTAGCAGTGTCTCCTCCAGATAATAAGAAATACACTTGTCCTAGGGGCAAAACAGTAAATCAGTACTCAAGTAAGTTTCTAAACTGGTAAATAAGATTAGGCAAAATAAGGTTTATTTTCTTCTTAGCTACTCAGAGCCTTTTGGGTACATCTTGAATCTCTAAGAAGGGCATCTACATCTCTCACTGGCATTTAATGAGGAAACTTCCAGTGAAAAACTCTTGGGAATACTGTTTTATGGAAACCACCCCAAGACAATGGAAACAACATGCAAAGTTCTTGAGAACCACTGTGCCCAGAACAATGCCTAGTACATCGGAAGTTCTTAGCAAACGTCCCTCATAACAAAAGTAATAACAAGTCGTATTGTTTCCAAACATGCTGGATTGTTCGGGAAACATCTTCAGCAGCATTTGTAGAACTAATGCATCTAGCAGCACTGTTGGAAAAATACTTGTTTAAGATACACAGTCCTTTAATGAGCAGGAATGACAAGAACAGAAGCTCCTTTAGCATCACCACGAATATAGGCTGTCCTGCAGGACACCTGCAATCACCAGGGATACCTCCTTCCATTTGCTCAGAGAGCAGCAGAGCTTAGTAACAACCTTCACACTCAGGCCCCTGCTTTTCTAACTCTCACATTTCCCTTTTTCCTAACAACTCCTAGGCAATGTCACTAGAGGGAAAGCAGGGGAACTAAGACTGTATAGGTACACTCTGCATGTACTTGAAGCACCGCCAACTGCCACAATTCTACTCTTAACCTCCCATTTTTCTTCCTCTCTGTTCCAGGAGCTACTAGCTCAATGGCATTGTACCTTTCCCGTCCATTATTGCCCTTTTCATGCACTATACACAACATCACTGTATTGTTACTTTCTTTCTAAATGCTGGGTCTTGGCTGACCAGGCTGGCCTTGAACTCTCTACTTAGCTGAGGATGGCTTTGAACTACTGATCCTCTTGCCTCCACCTCCCAAGAGCTGGGAGTACAGAAATGCACCCTTTGCTGGACTGTTGAATTTCCTTTTAATCAGCACTCTCATTTCCTCCTTTGGGGGCGGGGGGGGGGCTGTCTGTTTTCTTTCCATCCTACAAGTATAGTTTCTCTTGCCCAGGGAGTTTCTTTAAAAATAAATATGTCCTGTATCTTGCCTCAAGTTGAACTCATGACTCAGAAACAAAAGCTCCTTGACACTTGGACGAATGCTTCATCTGAACCGAAAGATAGCTCTGTTTAAAGGGGACAGCATCTCAGATCTTTGTACACATACATCTTTCCTTTTTAGAAATCAACGAAGTCAGGAGTCTGAACAGTGAATCACCAGTGAATTATCAAAGCTCCTCGCAAAGTTAACAGAGTCCCTTTAAATGTAACTAATTCTGGAAAGGGAATGCTGTAGTTTACAGCGGGAGCTGTCAAAGCACAGAACTCAGGATCCCCGAGGATGCAAAGGCCACGGACCCGCCATTCAGGAATCCAAAGAGTCTTGCTCCGGGTGCCTCTGCGGACCTCATAGGCAACTTGGCCTAAGGCCCTCCTCCCAGGCCTCCCCCAGGGGACAGAGGGATCCCCCAGAGCCCAAGGCCATAGCAAGAGAATCCGCAGACTGCCTGGGGCCAGCAGGTACCTGGTCATAAGGGGACTTCTCCAGCATCTGCGTGCATAGATCGGCGCAGAGCTGGAACTTCCTGCGTCTAAAATAGCTCCAGGCCCGGAGCAGAGGCTCCATCTCCGAGCCCATGGTGGCCTGGGACAGCCCTCCAGTGACCCGGGGTCCAGGCCCACTGCCCTGCGCGGGGAGGGCGGGGTCCAGGAGTAGCGAGCCGGAGGCGTCGGCTTCTGCCCAGCAACGCGCAGCGGCGGGGGGTGGCTCAAGGGTGTCCACAGCACGCCTGAAAACAGCGGAAAGAAAAGCCGCCGTGAACCCACCCCAGCCAGGGAGTTTGCACAGAATTGGCTGCAAAAAATGTGCGCTTTTAAAGACAACAGCTTTCACTAATTTTGAAGAGTCACCATTCCTTAGAAACAAAACAAAAACAGGTAGGGACTTAGACACCTAGACTGGGGGCCTCCGTGCGTACAAGAGATGCAGTTGCCTAGCAACCGCCCGGTTGCTTACCCAGTAAATGCAAAAACCACCTAAATTGACCCGAGTTGTGTCTCTGTCCCGCTCCCCCACCCCTCTTCACTCATTCCTACTGCTCTCATATTTCTGACTCTAGAAACATAAATGCGGAAACAGCTTCCCTTCTGCCCAAAATCAAATCAAAACAAAACCCTCCAGTATTTTTCCGTCAGTGTTCAAATTGCAGGAGATATGAGAGATTGCTTGGTCCAATCCATTCGTTTTATAGATGAGAAACTGAGATAGGCTCCAAAAAAAAGGAAATTATTTGTCCAAAGTTTCCCGGAATTAGAGACCTGGGCTGTCATCTTTGTGACCGAAGGGTGTTGGTTTTGAATTCTAAATCTACAGATTGATGGCATTTCCTCCAAAGAGGATAATGTATGGAAAAGGGGATTTGTTTCTTTTGGATTTTGTTTTCTTTTGGTATCAGGGTCTTGCTATGTATCCTTGGCTAGCCCCCAGTGCAGCCTCCCCAATGCTGAGGCTACAGGCATTTGACATGGGATACAACAAAAGAACTTTTGAAATGTCATCTTCGGACACATCTGCCATCTGTCAATGTTTTCCTGTGCACAATATCTTTTTTTTTTTCCTTGCTGAAGATTGAGTCCGGGTTTTTGGCAGTGTTAGGTAAAGAATCTGTCATTTAAATCATTAAGCTAAATCCCCAGTCCCAGAGTGGTTTCTTCAGGTACTGCCTTACTTTCTGCTACATATTTACAGAGATGGCATCTGATGGTAAGAGCCAGGGAGACAGATATGTGGCTAGGAGTCTGGGGGGTGTCGTCACAGACGGTCCCCTTGCCTCCTCCCTACCATGATGAAAGATAGAGGCGAAAGATCTCAATAGTAAAGAGTTTTCTGACAGTGTCTATATTGCCTTTCACAGATAACAATTGACAAGGACAAATGTTTTGCAGTTTTCTCAAGCCATTAGAGAATTTAAAATGCAGACATTATATTTAGTCTGGGTAGCTTTTGCAGATATCAAACCGAAGTATAAATTTCAAAACTAAGGGATGGGTTGTATTTCTTTCCTCCTTTTCTAAGCAATCTTTCTACAATTGCTGCATCTTGGAAGTGAATAATGATAAAAAATAAAAGAATTACTCTTCTTCAAATAGTAGCAAACTCCAAACTAATCACTTCCCTGAAACTAAAAATCTTCTCAATTTCTACACGGGAGCTATATTACTTTAACCCCAAACTGCTGACTATCTGCCATAATCCATTTCCTTCCGGCAGCCCTCCAGTGGAGCTACCACATATTTGTTATTCTGGTAATGAGCTTTAAAAACTGAACAGACAATTAATAACTGCCTTCTTTGAGTCTAAATTTCCTTTCTTAACTCTGAATTTCATAGGCAATTACACATTCACTAAGTTGATCCAACTAGGTGTTCTTAGGAATATTTATGGGGTCCTTCTTATTCAAACCACATACAGTAGCCCGAACAGCTCTAAATTAAGTACATAAAGATAGTTGGTTCATTTATTTGCTCTTTCTAGCAGGCCTCTTGTACTTGGCAAATCATATTCTATAGTCTAAAATTGAATTAATTTTCAACAATGGAAGTAAGATTAAAACATAGTATAAATTCTATTTGTGCCACAACCAGCCCCTGGCTCCATCCTATCCCGATGGGAGTGAACATGAGGTGAAAGGGTGCCCTTTTCTATTTAGTGCCAAGGAATCATAGCAGAGTCCTTCAACGTGTTTTCAAATTTAAAAAAGAGAAATTTTTTTAAATAACATCTTCTTACATGTAACATACATAGGGAATCATTGTATAAATATTTTAAATGCAAAATAGAAGCACTTTTTAAAAGTGCAGTAATATAATTATTACATCTCTACCTTTGGTCCACAAAGACTCATGACATATGCCAGGGGAGGGTGAGGAATAAGAAATTATCTTTGATTGGCTATACTGGTCTTAAAAAAAAAAAAAAAAAGCATGTCCCAGAATGCTTTACCATTACAAACACAAACTTCCTACCTGGACTTCGGAAACTTCAAGGTTCTAGCTGTGAACTATTTCTCTGAGTATATGTCACCCCACACTCAAATGACTGCAGTCTCCTTGCTGCATCTTGATGCACTGAGCAAGCACCTTAAATACCTGTTAACACCACACTTTTGTTTAGACATCCTCCTGCCTTGCTTTATGAAGTGTCCCCCATTGAAATGTCACTTCATTGATCAGTTCCCTTTTCAAACCATCAACATTTCATTTGTGTGCCACATTTTTCTCCAAGGACTCTATCATTAAAGATTCTTTCCATTACCAAGCCTTTTCTTTTACAACAGGGTCATATAGCTCAAGCTGGCCTTGAACTATGGATCCAAGCAAGGCTAGTCTTCAAGCTCCCGATGCTCTTGTCTCCATCTAAGTGCTGGGGTTACAGGCGTGTGCTACTGTGGCAGCCTTTCTTTTACAAAACTTTAATTAGGTTTCTCTAAGCCTTTTCACTACTTGGTCCTTACCTTGGGTTTCTGTGTTCATCACTACACAGTCCAATTATACTAAGAATACCGCTAACTTGGTTTACAGAGGCTCTCATCCTTAGATTTGACTGCCTCTATATATGATCAATTTCTTCATTTTCCACAATCTCCCATGTACTCAGCTCATCCTGCCCAATCTTCATCAGGAATTCCAGTAAGTGAACTTAGCAAGAATTCTTCCCAATTCCAATGCCATCTCAGAGGTTTTTCTGTTCATGGCTATGCTGGTTAGTTTTCATCATCTTAACACAAACTAGAGTCATTTGGGAAAAGAGGATCCTTAATTGAGAAGATGTCTACAGCAGATCTGTAGGGGTAGTTTCTTGATTGATGCTTACTGTGGAAGGACTTGCACGCTGTGGCTGGGGCCATCCCTGGGCAGGTGGTCCTGGGAAAGAAAGAAGGTTGAACAATCCATGAAGAGCAACTAGTAAGCAGCATTTTCTCTTGGTCTCTGTTTACTTCTTGCCTCTAGGTTCCTGCCTTGGTTTCCCTCAATGGACTGTAACATGGTATCTGTAAGCCAAATAAACCCTTTTCTCTCCAAGTTGCTTTTGGTCATGGTCTTTATCACAGCAATAGAAAGCAAATTAGGACAACAATCCTCTGACCCAACATCTCAACCTTTTCCTTAGCACTAAGTGTTCACTTTTTTCCTTCCATATTTGAAGTTGACATAGGCCCTCTCTCCCTTACTGAAATAGTATCTGAATGGAAACACATCATTTTGTGGTTTTCTTTCATTTTTACCTGCTATATTTTATATGTATTTTGAGCATAATTATCAAGTATTTCTATCCAGTCTTCTCTGCAGAATATAAACACCAAGAATAGAGACTTTGTTGCTTCTTCAGTGCCTAGAGTTGCCTATTTGACATGCAATAGGTGCTCAAAAACTACCTGTTGTTTCAATTTTATGTGTAACCTAGAAATGATGAACTTATGGGAACAGAGAGCAGAATTGTGGCTGTTAGGCTTCAATGTGGGTCTTTTAACAATGGGGAAAGGATTGGTTTAAGGATATAAAACTGCAGTTGGACAAGAGGCATGGGCTCTGTGAAGTCTTGAGGTCTACTGACAGCATGATAAATATGGTTGATAACAATATGCTATGTTTTAAAAGTTGTGAGATAGTATACTTTAAGTGTTCTCAAAACAAAAATGATGAATATGTGTGATATAACATGTTAATTGGTTTAATTTATCCATGCCATTGTGAACATACTGTATTGTGTATCAAATTGTGCATGACTTTATTTATGAGCTAAATAAATGAATGGAAAAAGACTACCTGTTGAGTCAATGGTTTTCTTTTTATATATAAATAAACTTCATACAAGTTATGGGCTACTTACTTATAATGCCAGTACTGGGAAGATGAAGACAGGCACGTCTCTGGGGATTCATTGCCAGACAACCTGGCCTAATCAATAAGGTCCCGGTGAGAAACCTGTCATAAAAAACATATAAGATGATTCCTGAGGAATAACACTTAAGGTTGTCCTCTGGCCTCTACACATATGTGTACATACAATCACACACTTGTAACTGCACACCTCTCTCTCTCTCTCTCTCTCTCTCTCTCTCTCTCTCTCTCTCTCTCTCTCTCTCTCTCTCTCCCAGCAGCCACCTTGTTAACTACTCTGAAATTGCCCTCACTCCTTTTCTTGTACTACCTTTTAGTCTCTTCCACTGTAAACCTGAATAAGAACAATGAGCGGTGACTATACCATAGATAGCCTCAATGTTATGCTGTCTTGAAATTTCTTCCACCAAACTAATCCACTGCTTTTGGCTCAAAACTCACTCTTCTTTGCATGGGCAAAATGTAGCCAGATCCTTTGCCAGGCAGTAACGTGAACGGTCTTAGTCTAATTTCCAGTGGGTTTTGTTTTGCCTTTGAAACTCCATGAGCCAAGCCTACCATTGCCCTTATTTCTCTCAGAATTCTGTTTTTCTGAATTCTTACCAGAATGGCCCATCAATCTCTACTAACAGCACTGTATGGTCTCTGGCCTCAGAGTTGTAAACTCTTCTAAATGCCTCCTCCAAACTAGTTCCAGAAGCCTAAGAACCACATGGTCACAATGCTCCTACTCCTTGTTACAATATTTCCATTTAGTTACTTTCCTCATTGGTCTCACCAAAGCTATTTGGTGAAGGCAATCCATTTTGGGGCTCATGGTTTGAAAGGACACAGTCTGTCATGGTATGGATGGTG